AATTGGTAGTTGGCTTTTAAGCCTATATAGCTTGAAGTAGGACAACATGGATGAAAAGGATGGTGTGGTCGAAATACTCGCCTAATAATTGCACACAGTGTAATCAGCACCAAAACCTTACGCTGAAACTAAGTAACTCAACAGTGAACACTAATGAAATTTTACATACAAACCGGTTTGTGAGACTGCTGTGAATTGAAAAAAAGGTGATGGCCAGGCGTCGCCATTGGATTCAATGCTTATCCAATCATCTGCTGACGCTGTGGCCAGCCTCGCCTGGTCATTTGTTGTTACCATGAGGACGTAATTCAACTCTGGAGCAAGCAGTTAAACTTTAAGACAGACACAAACTTTAAGACTGACAGCAGTGGCACTCTCAGGATGAATGTCCTAACTAATATTTTAGTATATTAACTATAAATTGACATTTCACATTTACAATAATGAATATTTTTTTTGTCATATTGTTTGCTTATATTTAGAGTGATAAATCCAGTCTTCTTTTTCACTTTCCTCGTTAATGTACCATATCACTCACCCACTTTTGTAACTGAAAAAGGCATCGGACATAACTTCCTTCAAGGCCAACATGGCCGTATCCATCATTATTCCTCCTCTGTCTGTGGAAAATGTGTTGCTTTAACGTTGATTTGTCTGTTGATGCCTCAACACAACTTTACTGTCTTGATGAGAAAAAATGCCCATTGTCTTTGTCTTAATGTTTGGTGATCAGGCACCATTGAATGCCTTGGGTAATGTTGTGCTTCACCATATAGCTGCTAAAACTGACTTGCTTTTCCTCACAAGCAAATTAGTCTTGCAGAAGGCATCACATAAATTACAAGCTGCACAGAGTGATTAGGGTAGACTGACCCTGACCCTGAACTGATTCACACATCATTCCCCCCTCCTGTGCTCTGATGTCTTTGCAGGTGGAGGTCACTTCTTCAACAGGAACTCCATGTCTCCTCGGAACATCGTCTCTGAGATGGAGCTGCCAGACATCCAAGCCTCACTCGATCTCTATGATGACAACAAGTCCTGAGACCAGTCGGCATGGTTACAACCGCACATCCAAATTATTCCCCCTGTTGAGGGTTGAACAAACTGGACCCAGAAAGTCCTCGCAGAGGGGTTTCTGTTGCGATGTGCAGTTGGGATGTCTAATACTGACCATCTGGATGTTTGATCACAGAAAGACTTTACTGACGTTTCTAAACAATCACAAGATTTTAATCACTGTTACTGGGTTCCTTTAAAGTTCTTCAAGTACTCCTGGATCAGCAACAATGTTTCCAAAGATACAGTAGCTTCTGAATGTTAGTGTCTGCGGAGATGAAACCTTGGGATCTGTTACGGTTTCCACACTTGGTTCTGAAACCTAAATGACTCCACAAAGCCAAAATGTGTTTGTAAAAATCCTCAGGATTCCTTATAAGGTTCCTGAGAATGTTTTTGTGCCTGAAGTGATATGGGTTTCTAATCTAAGATTCTTATTTCAAAAAAATGCTTCCTTATACTGAGCCCTGGTTCTGCTCCATTGGAGTGGTTTTCTGGATCAGTCTATAGTTCTTTCTGCTTGTCCGGTTTTCTGCTAAATGTCATCAAGGCTTTGAGAGCTCTGGAACCTCTCTTAATCCTCAATATGATACGAAGTTCTGTTTGATTCAGCTTACTAAAATCCTTCTTGCAGAAATTCTGGGTCAAGCAACTGAATAATTTCTGGATTTTCACCATAATTTCAAAGTTCCAGGAAACTTCTGTGTCCTTATACAACTTTAGTGCTCTTAGGGATCTCATCCAGGTACTTTCAAAGGTTCTGGAAAAGGTTCTGCCATTTTTGCTCAGCTTTTTCCAGAGTAAAAAAGATCAATGTGTCAGGTATAAAAACAGGAAGTGATTCAGAGAAGAACTATAGCAGTGTCCAAGAACTAGATCCCAGAACCATTTCTTACATAATCATTGTTTCTCCGGGTACTGGCAACCTCCCATGCTGAGTGGCTGGTTGAGGATCTTATTAGTTTTGTTTCGTTTCGTCTCTCAGAGTTTGGACTCTGCTTGATGGCCTGGATCAGCACTTCCTCTGAAATTGGATCGCCTGGAACAAGTTGGAGCAGGGACTATGAACATCTTAGTGAGTCTCCTGGAGTCCAGTGGATGGACCTGCTAAATGGACTGGACGTTGATTCTGTCTTTGCTAGTCCATGAAGCCTTCTGGTTGCATTGGTGTAGGTCCAGCAGGATTCCCAAGCTCTGTTTAAGAGGATATTTTCCTTCATTTTCTAGAAAATTCCCAGTGTTGGAACCAGAGGGAACCAGAAGAAGCTGTCTTACATCGGTCCGTTAGGTGATGGACTGCTACTCTAAAGTTATTCTGAGTTACTCAGTGTGTAATAACATTAATACTAATAATCAGTATATAAACAGCATTAAACAATCTATAATCTGACTGATTCATCAGTAATAAGTGACCTGAAGAAGCTCAGCTGCTGTCCATGTCTGTCTGATTTCATTTTTTTTATTTGTTTTTGTCCATCTCTATCCACGTCTGTCTCTTTGTGACAGATGAGGATGATGATGACTCGGAGGGGTCCTTTGTGTCTTTACTGCCGCAGCATCATGTCTGATTAAATGTCATTAAAGAGTCTGCTGCATCAACTGTGCAGTCTCTGGCAGTTTGTCCTCTTGGTCTCACATGAGAAGAAAGAACCATCTCCTACTTCTGATGCTTCGTTGAACACCAAAAGCTGATACCCTTGGACCAGCACCAAAGTGAATGTTTTGGGTGGTACACACCAAACGCTTGGAACATCAACGTTTCTTGAAGAACTTGTATTATATTCTTGAAATGCAAATCAACAAGCTTGCTGGTTTGAATCTACAGCTGCTATTCCAAACCTGAACCAGAATAACAACTGAAGCTTCAAACCAGCAACCCTCTTGATAGTGAGGAATATAAGTATTTGAACGCCCTGCTATTTTGCAAGTTCTCTAAGTTAGAAATCATGGAGGGATCTGAAATTGTCATCGTAGGTGCATGTTCACTGTGAGAGAACTATTCTAAAAAGAAAGAAATCTGATTTTTTTTTGTATGATACAGCTGTTAAGTATTTGAACACCTGAGAAAATCCATGTTAATATTTGGTACAGTAGCCTTTGTTTAGAATTACAGAGGTCAAATGTTTCCAGTAGTTTTTCACTGGGTTTGCACACATTGCAGGAGGGATTTTGGCCCACTCCTCCACACAGATCTTCTCTAGATGAGTCAGGTTTCTTGGCTGTCGCCGAGAAACGCAGAGTTTGGGCTCCCTAAAAAAGGTTCTCTATTGGGTTTAGGTCTGGAGACTGGCTAGGCCACACCAGAACCTTGATATTCTTCTTACAGAGTCACTCCTTGGTTATCCTGTGTGTGCTTTCGGTCATTGTCATGTTGGAAGTGCCAGATTCGACCCATCTTCAGTGTTCTGAGGGAAGGAGGTTGTTCCCCAAAATCTCACAATACACGACCCCCAGTCATCTACCTCCCCCATGCTTCTTCATCATTCTTGTTCCTCCAAACACTGTTGGTGGAATTATGACCAAAAAGTTCTATTTTGCGCTCATCTGACCACATGACTTTCTCCCATGACTCCTCTGGATCCTCCAAATGGTCATTGGCAAACTTAAGACAGGCCTTGACATGAGCTGGATTAAGCAGGGGAAGCTTCTATGCAATGCATGATTTCAAACCATTAGGTCTTAGTGTATAACCAGTAACCATGGAAACGGTGGTCCCAGTTCTTTTCAAGTCATTGACCAGCTCCTCCCGTGCATCTCTGGGCTGATTTCTCACCTTTCGTAGGATCATTGAGATCCCATGAGGTGAGATCATGAAAACTTGAGAGGAGTTGAAACAAATAGGCCTATGTGCTTAATAGGAGAATGTACTTAAACATAATGGTTGTGTTATGTCGCCAAAAAGACGCCTAAATAATGTGTTCGCTGTTTAAAGCAGCAAATGATGTCTTGAAAATTAATTAATTTAGGACATATTTTTATATAAGCCTTTATTGAGACGCCAGCACGCACGTCACGCAGAGGCGTGGTCTAATGCGTCATACACGGAAGTGATGTAGAGTCATCAGACCTGCAGAAAACAACAGAAACGGGACCAGAAGAAACCTGATTCCGGGCTTTATCCAGAGTTCACCCGGTTGAGGGTCAGTGCAGCTGTCCGCCATGTGGATCGAGCCGGAGGAGGTGCTCCTTGCCGGAGCTCTGTGGATGTCAGAGCGGGCCAATCCGTTCTTCATCCTGCAGAGGAGGAGGGGGCACGGCCGCGGAGGGGGGCTGTCCGGTAGGTTCTGTTCGGTCCGGTCCGGTCCGGTCTGTCTCTGGGTGACTAGTGAATAAGCAATTTGATGTGTCTGTTTGGTTTGTGTTTGACGAGTTTAAGGGGGGAGGGGGGTCTCTGTTAGGTTCTATGTGGGCGGAAGGGGTGGACGGTCCACTCGGTTCGGTTCGGCTCTGTAGGAAGGAACTGTTCCATTCTTTTAGTTGGATGTTCTGTTCTCTCTCTGTGAATCGGTTCAGTCTGAACAGTTAATTGTGGGTGTTGGTCATCCAGCTAAGTTCAGGTTTTTTGGAAACAGTTCTTGCAGAACCTCAGTAACAGTCACCTCTGGTTATGTAAACTGAGAACAGAACAACTAGTTCTGGATAATTGGATGCAAAACTAGAACCCCAGAATAAGGTAAAAATGTGGCTGGCCTCAGATCTGAGGGGAGTGACGCCATGAAGACTCAGCTGACTTTGTTTACTTCCTGATAAAGAACCAGGTGATTAATTTTTGCATCATGGGGAAGGTCTTGGAGACCTGCAAGGGTTTAGGTGGGAGTGGGTCTGTGTCGTTGGGGGTCAGACAGACATGTTCACAAGTCATTTTTTGCAAGTCCAAGTCAAGTCTCAAGTCTTGAGAAGGCCTGTCGCAATAATCAATTAATCGCACAAAAAATTCTAATCACTTAATTAATTAAATAAAAAGTGCAATAATTTTCGTGCTTGCTTGTTTCTCAGACTGATCTGGTCAGACCAGTAAAATGTTAAAGGAAACAGAGAAAGTAGTCCGAAACCAATTAGTTGCCAGAGGAGGGATTGGAACCAGCAACCTTTTTCATTTCTTCCCTATTTAAACCTTCCTAATGATGGTAAAACTTGTGCACACAGATCTGCTAGGAATGATCTGAACATCATCTGACTAATTTCATTTACTTTATAGCCCCAATTCCCAACATGTTACTTAACTAAGGCAGTTCAGTCTAATCATACAGACAGATTTAACTATTCTGAACTATCATGCATTACAAGCACTGATGGTTCCAAGATTTGGACCCAAAGAAGTTCTGCAGGCTCAGGAAACCTTTGTTGGACAAATGCATGGCTGCACCACAACAGGAAATGGATGTTGGGATGTTTAACACATTGGAAGTTATTAAAATGTTACGCATTGACCTCAGAATGGAAGGTTGTGACCCAAACTGCAGGTCCCGTTGTCTCTCTTTCAGTTTTTCTTGTATCTCTTATGTAGCTTTTAGACCTTCACCATCAGGCGGCTGCAGAGGCGTAGCCAGAATATTTTTATAAGGGTGGCCAGGCAATAACCATCGTACACTAAGGGGTGGCCGAAAGTGGATAGGCGCCAGAACCTCAGGGTCAATCTACACTGTTCCAAGAGGAAAATTAACGAGCAAAACATCCATATTTTCTAAATAAAAACAATTTATACTTTCCTACAGCCTTTGCTAACAAGTAGACGCATATATTTAAACATCCGTGCTTTCTAAATAAAAGATATAGTGGATAAAAATCTTTTAGTTTTGAGATCGTCATTACTTTACTTTACTTCTATCAATAAACATTCTGCATAAAATTTATATTTACAAGCACTAATATTTACATAAATTGATTATTAACTAAGTTTTTATTAAAATTTTTTATTTATCTATGATTTCACTGAAGACACGTTTTCTCTTTACCCCATATAAAACAAAATCTAGTTCTGAAAAGAGAATGAAATCTGTATTTATCATCTTTGATGTTAGTAAATTGATGTGTATAATTAACCACAAAAACATATTAATGTTTTGAATATTCCACTTGAGAGTATTACTGCTGCCACCATCTGCATTAGAGGGAAATAAATGGTAGGGGTGGCCATGACCACCCATGGCCCCCCATCTAGCTCCGTCCCTGGGCTCCTGACTTCCCTGATGGAGGTGGTTAGAGGGTATGGTTGCACCTGTTGTGTGGTTCCCTCACTTCTTTTGGTCTACCACAGGGAGCTACGGCTTCAATGTTTTTTAGCACCATCAGCTTGTGAATGTATGTGAATTGGTGAATTAAAGGGTTCATGATAAAGTGTGTTGGGGTGATCAGGCCTGATTTAGCGCCGCATAAGTGCAGGCCATTCACCATTTATATGATCTGCATTAGCAGTTCAGTTCATCTGAATTCTTTGCTCCTTTTTTATATCTATAAAGTTTCAGTGGTTTCCAGTGACACCAATGGTTCTCAACCCAATATAAAGTGATGCATAGACAGAAAATACACATTGCAACAGTTTCTGTAACGTCTCCATTTTTCAGGAAGTCGTATCCAAATGCCAGTTTTTATTGGCTCTTCTCTTCCAATCTGATGACTTGAAGCAGGAAGTTTTGTTGGTCAGGACTCTATGGCTGCAATATTTTGGATAAGCTAGATTCTTTTAAAGGCACCATTGCAAAAATGTACAATACTGAATATACAATTTTAGGAGGTGTTTTGACAGGAAACCTTTTGGATTATTTTAGAATTGCACTGTTAAAGTTGGTTGTAAGTTGGAATAGGTCATTTGTGCATCTTTAAATCTAATATATATTTTTTAAAGAAATACATTTCCTCCATTTGTGGCTCAGTGCTTCTTTTTTTGGATGTTTTTTTTCTGGTTTTAGATGCTGTGTAGCTTTTTTGAAACAGCACGCATTTGTTGAAGACTATACTCAAAGCATAGGGAGTTTTGTTTATCTTTAGCTAAAATATCACTTCAACTATTTGCAGGAATTTTGAATATGTTCCACCAGCCATCCGTCCTCTATACCCTTCCACTTTCTCCGTTCAGTGTTGTTGAAGAGTAAGTTCCTGTCTTTAGCTGTCATTGCATGAAGTACAAGTAGTAGATAGGACACGCTGCTACATCATAGCATGACATTTTATTTTTTTTTTAAACATGTCTGTCTTCTTTTCTAGTAAAGCGGACCTGCCTTGTTCTAGCGATGTCCTTTTTTAAAATTTCTGTAGGTGGGAAATGTATCGTAGACTTAGACTAAGACAACTTTTATTGTCATGTATGCAAAATGAAATTTCGTTTTGTACAGCTTTCCATTCCATAAAGTGCAGCAGTGATCAAATGTAAACAATGTGGGAGAAAATACATGGTGCAAAAAAAAAAAAAAAAAGAAAAAGAAAAAAAGAAATGTAGACATTTTTGCAAGAATCATGCAAAATGCGAGAATCATGAAACATCATTATTACTGAATGTGAAACAATAAAAATGTATAAAAATTAGCATTAAAGCAGATGAAAATTGCCCAGATTTAAAGTTGGGTTCATTAATCTGTTCTGAAAGTAAAGCT